TTCCCCCACTCCTTCATTCTTCTCCACCATCTTGCCCCCTCTCCTACTTTTACTTCCCCTCCTTTACTTCCTCTGCTTTGCCCTTTCTTCCTTTCCCTCTTTTCCGTTGTTGCCCTTGCTTATTTTCTTTCTCTGATGGATTCTCGGGGTGGCATTCCAATAATTCCGTCTTTATATTTACATAAAAATAATTTTTACTACCCAATAGTAGATCCACTTATACCATTTTTTAACTTGTATATTTGTATTTCAATACTTTTCTATTTTTCCCTTCCTCCCCCCCCATCTAATAATGTGTCATCTGAGTTGTTTATTCTATACTCTTTTCCTTTCTCCTTCTCTTTGTATCTCTTTTCCAACCAATCATAAAATCGCCCTCATGTCTTGAAGTACACTGATTCCTCTTTGTCCTTTATTCTAAATGTCAATCTGTTCATTTCTGTGCAATCCAATATCTTCTTTATTATCTCTCCTATTTTTCTACTTGCATTTTTTACGTGCTTTCAAACTGCTTGGTTGGCAGAAGCTGGGACAAATAACAGGAGCTCACTCCGTTACGCGGTGCTAGGGATTCGACAAGCTCAGCGTCTTAGCCATTGAGCCACTGCGTCCCTCTATCATAACTACAGAGTGAAGCTAAGTTATTTTACTTCCCTTGTCTCTTGATGGAGAATACAGCAATATTTTCCCAACCAAAGTTAAGCTGCCCCATCAACATTAAGCAGCCACAAAATGCTGATTGCAAGGTCCAGCAAAAAAAAGAAGGAAAATATCAAGTCTAATATCAAGGCCACTGAGGACATCAATGCCTACTCAGTGCATGAGTTTTGAGTTAAAGCAACCCAGGCTGCTGATGGCCATCTCGTTTCTCTTCAAACACATCTACGAAAGGTAAGTATACCATCACCCCCAGAAAATTCTACAAGGTTGGGCCCACTTCAACATTCTGTTGCAGGTTCCACGTGAGTGAAATACCAGCAATGGACAAAAAAATAAATAAAAGGATTTGTGTTTGCAATGGGTGGAGGAATTTATCTGCATAGTATCAAACAACTGCATGTAGGGAACAGCTGGGTTGAAAACTAGGGTTGTTGTGAATTTCAGTTAGTTTAGTTTTCAGAATAGCTCTGGAATTTGGTATGTTTGCATTATATAATCTTATTTATCATGTTAAGTCAGCCACAGCAGGGACGCCGTGGCTCAGTGGCTAAGACGCTGAGGTTGTCGATCAGAAAGGTCGGCAGTTCAAAATTCTAGCGCAGCGTAACAGACTGAGCTCCCGTTACTTGTCCCAGCTTCTGCCAACCTAGCAGTTCGAAAGCATGTAAAAAATGCAAGTAGAAAAATAGAAACCACCTTTGGTGGGAAGGTAACAGCCTCCATGTGCCTTTTTAGTCATGCTAGTCACATGACCACGGAGACATCTTTGGAGAGCACTGGCTCTTTGGCTTTGAAATGGAGATGAGCACCGCTCTCTAGAGTTGGGAATGACTAGCACATATGTGCGAGGGGAACCTTTANCCCAGCCAGACATGTGGACTTCCACTCCCAGAATTCCAACATGCATTAAAGTAGCTAGGTTTGATGAGAAACGGTGCTCTAAACAACTTGTCTTTTCTCAATGTCTTTTCTAAAATCGGTTGTGAAATGTTTCTCCCTTGCAGGCCACTGAGATGTTGGTCCACAATGCCCAGAACCTCATGCAGTCCGTCAAGGAAACTGTCCGAGAGGCTGAAGCAGCTTCTATTAAGATCCGAACGGATGCTGGATTCACCTTACGCTGGGTCAGGAAGACCCCATGGTACCAGTAGAGAGCACAGTTCTTCCCCCTGAGCATTGTTTTTTTTTTCCCCACGAGAACCCCCCCCCTTCTGCAAACCACCAGAAGGAGCTGCTGAGGTTGGCTCAGGAGTCTCTTGAAGCGCCATCCTGAGGGTTTGTAATAGTGCGTTGGGCTGCTTTGGGTATCTAATCTCACTTTAGCTCATTTCCAGACTTTTCCCTTCTCTTGCTTTTGATTTATTTTTATTATTTTTAGGAACACTATTTTAATCCGGTTCTTCTCTCCTCTACCTCTGTCATGATTGTGTTTTCTATGCAACACACCAGTTTTGTTGTAGCATAATTTGAAAATCTGGGCCATCTTTGTTGGCTTAGTTGGTCATTGTGAGGGACAATCAGGAAAACCAATAGTTGGGATTTTCAGTTTTTTGCTGTTGGATTATTATTATTATTTGGATGAGAAGATGATAAATTTAATTTTATCCTATCCAAAGTGAAAAGCACCATTCCTTTGGCAGAAGGAAGTGAGTTTAGCAATCAAAAGTTGCTGCTTTCCCCACCACCACTAATGGCAATTTCTAAACAAGACTTTGGGGAAGAATTTTCCATAGCTATCAAGTTCCTTCAGAACAAAAACTCCTATGCCAGACCTTAGGAGATATATTTTTTGAGTAGCAATAGCAATAAAGATTTATATACCGCTGCTGTTACAGCTCCCTCTAAGCAGTTTTAGTCTCAGCCTCTTGCCCCCAACAATCTGGGTCCTCATTTTACTCACTTCAGAAGGATGGAAGGCAGAGTCCACCTTGAGCCTGGTGAGATTCAAAGTGCCAAACTGAAGGCAGCCAGTGATCAGGAGAAGCAGCCTGCAGTACTGCACTCTAACCACTGCGCCTCAAGATATATTTTCTGAGTAGTTTCTTGCTACTAAAATTAGATCAGTAGAATAGATTTCTGTTTTGATAAACCAGAGGAAAAGCGTGGCGGTACAATAGTAAAAACTCTTTCAGTGGGTTTCAGAAATAATTCACTTTGGGCCTTTATGAAGCATCACCATGAAAATACCAATGCCGATCCAGCTGCCATCATTTGGATCTGCTTCCTTATGAATGGCTTGGGCATTCAACCCAGAAAACTCCAGAGATTTGGGCATGTAGCCAAAATCAACATTGATGGAAGGGTTGGGTGGCCCTTGTTTACTGGTTCACTTTTTTTACACAACCTTAAGTCTTCTCTTCTTTGGTGCATTTCAAAACTAAATTCAAAGGAATGGGCTTTTCAAGGCCTTCTCTTCCAATGCCAAGAATCCAGGAAAGCAGATTTCTCACTCTTTGCTGGCTACAAGGTACTCACAACTGCCATTTTGGATCTTGGCCAGGGTAGCTATTACAGAAGAGAAGACTTAAGG